ATTTTCTTTTTAGTCACCACAGGTCATCTTTACTTACTCTTTTCCGTTTCTTCCAGCTTCTTCGTCAATGTCGTCAACATCATATCTTACAAACTGAGTCAAGGATATGGAAAATATATCTGGAGCTTTTACGGAAACTCGGAAGAGTTAAACGGGAAAATAAAGAAGTTACAATGTTGCCAACTTCTGAAAACGAACATTTGTTACTCTCGTTTTTTGGGACTCATGAATTTCTCGAGATTAGTCTGTTGAGAAGAATGCCCATTTAGCTCCACGTAACTTACCTTACCACATATTTCCTTGTTTGGGGTATCGAGCACGGCAATTCAATCCACTGAACAACAACAGCACTCAATCAAACTTCCCCGGTTAAATATCGCACTAAATTATTGCTACAAAATTCAGAAAAGGTACTTATTTGAAGACGGATTGAAAGAGACAATTTCCGCTAAGATCAACTGTTCTTCACCGTCAGGCGTACGGACACGGGCAGCAACCTACAACAAACAGAACTAGTAATCAGTAGGGAAGGGAGGGACAGGCATGGAAAAAGGACAGGGAACATAAAGCAATCAAAACTGGTAAGACATGGGTACACATATGCAAAGATTAACAAATTGGCGTCAGTTTTTCATGCGTCTGTCCTGTTATTGATCATGAATTTCGACATAACATTGTCAAAGTAGCTGTGGATCCACAAGGTGATAGCCAAGTAGATCCGCAGACTACTGAGAATTTCTGCAGTTATCATAAAAAATGAAATGTTTACACAATTGAATTGATAACTTTGTATGAGACATTTTATGTCATCTTACATGATCTCCTTGCTGAGCCACATAGTTTGATTCAGCTTGAACGCTGCCACAAAGAGGAGGTGGACTGGGGAAGAAACACGACTTACATTTTACTAATGAAAGTAGCACTCTAAAGCATTGAACATATTACAGTGTAACAGCTTCTCTCATAAAACAACCCATTGAACATAAGGCATTCTTTCGCCATGTCCAAAGACAAGCTCATTAAAGTCCACCACCAATGTGTTTTTTGAGTTTCCAGAGAGTTGTCATGACCAAAAGCAAAAGTTGCCTAGACATTCTCACCCCAGAATGTCCAAAGATTGGTAATGGCCATTTCATATTGTAAATTAAAACGTCTGAAGGTTGTTGTATACAGTGAATAGATGGAAGACATATATGTAAACTGTAGCTGAAACATTGCCAAAATACAGCGGGTATGGAGAAGAAATTGGACTTCTGCACATAGGGAAATTAAGACAAGTAGCTACATGTATCACTTACACAGCTGATCATATATCATAAAATCAAATCAAAAAATAGCAAATGTACACAAAGGGCTATACAGCTCATTTTGCTGGACTTTGCTGCAGGGTTAAAACTGTATATGAAATTACATTATAACAACTGTACTACATTTTCAACTATCCAGCTTAAGCTTACCTTTCTGAGGCTTTTCCCATCCACATGGGCAACTGAACTGCAGCTTGTTGTAACATGGTCATGAGAACTCCCCGTCTCATCACCTTCCTAAATAAAAGATACAGTCGGACCTCTATCAAGTGGCCACCCTTGGGACTTTGCAAACTGGCCGATTAATAGAGGTACAATAAATTTAAGGTGGCTCAAAACAGTTTCCAGCAGTTAGATTTTGATGGGTCGTTATAACCACTCTTTATCACTTGATGCTACAATCATGGTATCAAAAAACTGCCCAAATTGGTGAACACATTGTTATCATTTTCATAACACAATAAGTTACCATAGCAACAGTATGACCTACTAAAAAAAACCCTTAATTGTAGTTGTAGGGGCTTATAATTCAATAAGCATGATAAGATGCAACTTTTAGCACAGTTTAAAAAAATTCTGTAGGTAGGGTTCAGAGCAAGCTCTGAACTTTGGCTTTGACTTAGCTTTGAGCCACCTTAAATTGCGTAGAAAAGGCAGTCAACATAGTTTTATTGCCTCTATATAGCAAAACGCTTGTTAAAAAGTGAACATATGTGAAGATAAATGCATTGTAAATAAATAAATAAATTGTATTTGGGCATTTCAAGTCTATACAATAAGTTCTGTAGTAGTTCTAACACAGAGAGCATAGAGTAGATATACAGTATTTTTAGTTGAGAAAAATATGCAAATCTATGGAACAAAACATCAAGTTTCTTAGGCCTTTTTGCATCAACAGTCTGTAAAAATTTTAGCACAAAATATTTCACAGACAATGTATTTAAAACTAGTAGTAATCAAAGATCATGAGTGCGTTCGACACCGTCACTTTCATAGTTATATATACCTTAAATGACAACTAGCTGACTTTCAACCTCTGTCTATTGCGTCATGCATTTTTATCATAGTTGTTTTTATTATTGTACGTTTACTTTTAATTGTAATTTTAGCTTTTTAGCCTTTTTATTCCGTTTTTAATCTTGTCATGCACATTTGAACATTTTATGAAATTTACACATTATAAATGTTATTATTATTATTTATTATTTTTCTTTTCGATAATGATGAAAAAGTGGCTTCTTCTTAAA